AATATTTGTCAAACATTTGAGTGGATACTTTTGTTTCTCATGCAAATGTCTACTTATTGATATTGCAACAGACTAAAAATGAAAAAGGATAAACATAAATATTCAACGGAATAACCTCAGAGCTATGGCAGACTTAAAACTGTGGAAGCTGAATTTCCCCGTAATATCTTTCGGGTTGTCAGCATTGTTGCTCAAGAAGTGAGTTAGGACGGTAGCACTATTGATTTTTTGTCTGTCTGTGTGATTAGGTAAGCTGGGTAAAACGTAATAAAAGAGCACCTGTCTTCTGGGATTTATGTCTTTGCGTTGACATAGCGCAGTGGTATCGAGATTAAATCATCAAAATCATAACAATGTAGACATCGCAAATGGCACAAAACTACCATTTTCCATAAATGCAGGTTTTAAAAAAAAAGCCATAGGATGGCTCTCTGACACGTCCAAATCTAAAAGCATACAGGATATATTATGTGGCGACTCATAATTGTGACACAATTTGTGAAAAATGACTCAATTGTTTGGTTACAAAATGTTTATTTTTCCTCTGTTGTTTTTTGCAAATGCAGGCAGTGAGAATGTGTTGAAGCGGATGACCATCATCGGGGTGATCTTGTCCTTCAAATCAATGGCACTGGAGTGTCTCAGCAATGTAAAGTACATAATTGTTTCCAATATTACTGAGGTTTAAAAATAGATATTTAATGACTATATTCAACCATTATTTTACTGCATGAGATTTTCTTTGGAATATGTCGACCGGATTGTGGCTTGTTGTGCTAACGTGCTCCCTTAGATAACTGTCTGATACCACAGGATGCTGACGGATGTATATGATCCGGACCGCTGGGTGATGCCTGTGACTTATCATGTAATCCTTTAATCTAGATCCTAGATAAACACTGCCCGTACCTGGCGGGGCCAATCAAGGGTCTGAGAGACTTCATCTGCCCTGATGCTGACATCAAGGTAAAGCTTTAACTCCATATGCGCAGCACGGATATGAAGGAGCACCAGAGTTAATGAACAGTATGGTTATGGTCAGGCGGTGTGTGTGCCGTTGGTCTACATGTGTATATTTATTCACAATCAAGGCTGAAGGCAACCGGCGTAATAAGAAGAGCTGTCGCTCTGAGCCGCAGAAAATGCATCATCATCGGAATCATTTTTCTTGTAATTTTCAAAAAAAAAAAACCCAAAACAACCATATCAAATGTCTTATCTCTCCCTCCGGAGAAACCAGTGTGCTCTGCGCCTGAGAAGCTCCCCCCTGCCTCCACTTACGTCTTAGCCTCTGAGTGAGGAATGACAGCCGGGCCACAGCGCAGGCCAGGATAACCCCAAAGACGTCAGCAGCCCCCCTCTTGCCTCCGTGAGAGAGTCTGATGGCTGCTGCAGCGCTGCACTTTTAACCACATCAGTGGAAACTTTCTGCCCAGACTGACACACAAAGTGTGTGTCAAACAGAAACTCATGACTGAATCCACATCACCGAAAATACTTCTCAGTTACTGTTGAATGTGATACGCGAGAAGTACTTTTTATCGGCATGGTCAATTGAAAAAATAAAAAAAGAAGATTTGAGTAAAAGACATTTACAGACATTTTATGATAAGTTCTGCATTTGTCGCGCCAAGAAAACCTGCAGTATTTTCTGGACTATAAGTCGCACATATATAGGTCGCTCCAGAGTACAAGTTCCTCTAGTGCCCTCTAGCGGCTTTCAATGTGAAAATACCGAACGTGCAAAGTTTTAGTGGTACAGAAGTAGCAGATACTGGTAAACAATCCTAGAGTGCCCTCTAGTGGCTGTCAGTGTGAAAATAACAAACACGTGAAATTATGTATTTTATTATATAACAAACCTATTGTTTCTTTCCTGCACGGGGTGCTTTTTTTTATAAATATAATCTGATAAAATTATATATATATATGTACTGTATTTTCTGGACTATAAGTCGCACCAGAGTATGAGTCGCACCAGCAAAAAAAAAAAAAAAAAGAAAAAGAAAAAAGCATAGTGAAGAAGAAAAAAACATATACGTATAAGTCGTTCCAGAGTATAAGTTCCTCTAGTGCCCTCTAGCGGCTTTTAATGTGAAAATACCAAATGTGCAAATTTCTCGTGGTACAGAAGTAGCAGATACTGGTAAACAATCCTAGAGTGCCCTCTAGTGGCTGTCCATGTGAAAATATCAAACATGATGTGAAATGATGTATTTTATTATATAACACCAGAGTCGCGAGTCGCAAAAAAAAAAAAGAAGTGCGACTGATAGTCCAGAAAATTTTACGTTTTTTTTTGTTTTGCCCCACAGGAGACGATGAACGTGTTCGAGTTGGCGTCTGCGGCAGGGCTGACCTGTGACATTGACCCTGCCCTCGTGGCAGCTGTCAGCAGCATGAAGACAGGTAACAGTAAAAGTACCTTTTCCTGTAGACATCACCGTGTTCTTTTGTGACAGCCCCGGTCAATTAACGTGCACCTTCTGTCGTGACGAAAACCAACAGACAACACATCGGCTGACGAAGAGTACAAGCTGTCCTGTTTGCTGCTCGTCTACGTGGCCGTGTCTCTGCCCATCTTGGCCCTTGACAACAACTCGTCCTACAGCCGGGAGCATGGAGGTGCATGTCTATTCGGTCATTTTCCTCTGCTGCTCCCCGCTTGATAGTAATTTGTCGCCGATGGCCCTCGACCAGCTACTAATCGCCTCCTTTTTCAAGCCATTATCAACTGCTGATAGCGGACGGTGAAGGGTCCATTAGCAACCGAGTGCATCATACTTTCCACTCTGACTGACGTGTTACCCAGTAAATTAAGTACGTCGGTTAATGTGAAACAGGTTCGCGTCGAGAGACTTTTGTTTACAGATAACCACGGTTGACGTGCGCTGGTACAGTTACTCTTGGCACGCGGCCCCGTCGACTCTTAACTGCTTGGCTCGGTGCCTGGACTGCAACACTAAGAGCAGAAAATAAGCAAGATTCCTATCAGAGCAGAATGTGCCACTCAGATTACTTTCTTTGTCCTTTATTTTCCACCGACACAGAAACAAATTAACCTCAGCCAGCCCGAGGTAATGTGCTCTAAATGCTTCCTCCTTTAAGTGTCACAGATCATTTAGGTAATTTTTTTTTTTTTTTTTTAAACCTCTGACTGAAAACATCCTCTCTGTGACTGAAGTTACAGTACGTGATTCTTTACTCTCGGGTTCTTACTAATTACTTTGAGCTTTATCTTTATCCAAGGACACAACAACAACATCCACTGTTTAGCTACGGCCATCAACCAGCTGGCCGCTGCCATGTTCACAGTTCAGGGCAAGAACATCGAGCAGCACCTGAAAGAGTTTCTTCTGGTGAGTGGTTAACCTACGGTCGAAGATTTTACATCACCTAGAACAAGGTCCCCAATTCCCGGTCCAGGGACCGGTGCCGGTCCGTAGGTCATTTGGTACCAAGAATTAAAAATAACGGCCTCCTTTACAATATTATTATCAAATATATTCATTTTATACCTTTTTTTTTCCCAGTCTCTTCTTAGAGATTAAAGCCCCACCCTGCAATGGCACTGAACACCCTCTAGGGGGCACACCACACTCCTTGGCCACCTCCGGCCTAAATAAATAAATTAATACATTTGTACTATATTGATGCCATATTTGGGATATTGTTGTGTTTGTAGCAGATATGCCCCTAGCGAACGCCAAGCATGTGGTTCCTCTGGGAATCGAACCCTTCTGGGGCAGGCATGCTAACCACTCCACTATGGAACCAACTCAAACTCACCATTAAAAAGAAAATGGTTATTTACATCAAATTTCTTTTAAAGTTACACGGTGCATGACTTAGCAACCTCTAGTGGCAGCTACAGGGAGTAAATACGAATACAACGACCTGTGAACCATAGTTTGAGAACCACTGACCTTATAGATGCTAATGCTAAAGTGTTTCACATAGTACTGCAGGTCACTGACACCAATCCAAGTTTAAGAGGTCAAAGTTGGACACTGGGCTAAAACTATGGGTCGAGGTTTTTGGTATGACACCAAAAATAGACATTTTTCATGATTTGCCTTTCATCAACTCCTTTCGTCTGTCCTCAGATGGCCTCGTCAACTCTGCTGCAGCTCGGACAAAACGTGGACAAGGTGGAGGTTAAACATCGAGAATCCGTCTACCTGCTTCTGCACATGGTAGGGTTCCGGCAAAAAATAGCAATTTTTTATTTTTAAATTTGAATCAATGTACGAGCGGCTGAATAGTTTGACTGCTGGAAAAAAAAAGTGGCTGAGTTTTTATCTTTAAAGGGATCCAGATTGAATTATTTATTTCCGTATCTGTGAAGAAATAATAGATGAAGTGTGAGAGAATAATAAAATAAATCCTTTATGTGATTCATGCATGTTAAAAACCAAAGATTCATCTTTAAATGATGGAGGTCACGGTTCCTCATGAAATGCCTCGTTATGTTCTCGTACTCAAAGAGCAATCATTATATTTTTTTTCTATATTTAAAACATAAACTGGTTGTTAATGTTTTTATATCACAATGATAGGAACCAGGTTCAGCTTTTTATTAGGTGTGGTGACTTGACTGTAGATGGATGGATGGATAAATGGATAGATGGATGGATAAATAGATGGATGGATAAATAGATGGATGGATAAATGGATAGATGGATGGATAGATGGATAGACGGATAGACAGATGGATGGATGGATGTATAGATGGATGGATGGATAGGTGGATAGACGGATAGATAGATGGATGGATGGGTGGATGGATGGATGGATGGGTGGATGGATGGATGGATGATGGATGGATAGATGGATAGACGGATAGACAGATGGATGGATGGATGATGGATGGATAGATGGATAGGTAGGTAGGTGGATAGATGGATGGATAAATGGATAGATGGATGGATAAATAGATGGATGGATAAATAGATGGATGGATAAATGGATAGACGGATGGATGGATAGATGAATAGATAGATAGATGGATAAATGGATGGATGGATGGATGATAGATAGATAGATCTCTTCAGGATGTTTGTAGACGACAGTATACTGTATTAGACCAAAAATATGACACCACAAACACTGCTTCTTCCAGATTGTGGAGAAGTCTCCGTTCCTGAGCCAGGACATGTTGGAGAGCTGCTTCCCGTATGTTCTGCTCCGAAACGCCTACAGGGAGGTGTACAAGTCCTTCATCATCACTCTGGGCTGATGAACACTTAAAACAACTTAGAAAACGTAACAATGTTAATGTGTCAACTAGTTCAGAGTTGTGTCTTTATCCAGGTCGGTCTTCGCCTCTGTTATTTATACGTCCTTCTTACAACATGCTAATGATAGTCCAGGTTTGTGTAAACGCCCGAATTTATTTCGAATAACCTTCAGATATTTTTAATATCCTGTTTTAATTTATAACTTCCAGCGTTTGCACTGATCAAGATGCTAATTATAGTCTGTTTATCCTCTTCCTGTTTTGCCCAAATTTATCCGCTATTTTCGGTTTGTTTTCCACAACACTGACCCTGGTTCCCCGTCCCTGGATGGGAGTCCTATCCTCTTGATATTTCATGCACAATTTCAATGAATTGCTCAAGTTTCACAGAGAGGAAAGAGATCCGCGCTAAAATTAGATCGCCCAAAAGTAAAAGTGATTACAACGATGTTTTGCAACCAGTGCAGTTCATCCTTCTTTCTATTCCTCTCGGGAGGTCGGGAGGATGTCATCATAACTCAGAGAGAGAGATAGAGAGAGAGAGAGAGAGAGTGCGTAGGAGAGTGAGAGAGAGAGTGTGTATGTGTGTGTGTAGGAGAGGGAAATTCTAAAAGCAATTAATATATAACAAATAAAGGGGAATAGAATTTCCACAAATGTATCAAAAAGTTGCGTAATATTTGGTGCAAAAATGTAAAGTGAGTGAAAGAAATTTTTTTCTTTGTTATAATAGTGTTAATTTTGTTGATTTTTTTTTTTTTTTTTTTTTACATGATATGCAATTTAAACTGGTTGAGCTGGTTGACGATATGTTTGTTTTCTTTTTTCCTTATACTTAATGTTTAAACATTGATTTTCACACATAAGCAGCACGAGTTGTGATACTTAAAAAAAAAAAAAAAAATTGTATATAACGTTGTCTTTTACAGTCTGTCATATTTCCTGACACGACCGGTTCCAGGAAAATACTGTATTTTGATTAGTCTGTATTTTTCGTATGTTAATTCTCCTACATATACTTCATGTAGAGCATGTGTCAAACTCAAGGCCTGCGGGCCGAACGCGGCCCACCAAGTCATTTTTTTTGTGGCCCGCAGAAGTGTTTGCCATGTAATAAAGTCCATGCTGCAGAGTTTTCTAACCTGATTAATTCACTTTTTTTATTATTATTACACAGAGCAAATGAACAATTTTTATAAAAAATCTCCAATGAGTCTTTGTCGGAACTTTTTTTTTTTTTTAAAAATCCTGCGTTTGAAGACTGATGTTTTTATTTCTCCAATGAGTCTTTGTCGGAACTTTTGTCCTGCGTTTGAAGACGTGATGTTTTTATTAAAAAAAAAACCCCGCCTGTACGGATTGATTAAATGACGCCTAATTCAATTGATTTCAAGCCCCTTCGACATCGGAAAAAGAAATTAATGAAATCCTGCAGCCGACGCAGATGTACTCGAATTTGTGGTTTTAATGGTTGGACCTATTCTGAGACCCTGAGGACAGTTAATGGTGGAAACTCCTGGTCCTGATATAAAGAGTCTTTACTGATTGTGCTGGTGACGCAGAACTTGTTACTGCTGACTGGTGGAACAAGGAAAATTAA